TTTCAAAATGCCGATACGAAATTTTCAAAAGAAGACGAAAATTTCGCCGAGCGAAAAAGAGCAGCTTGAGGCAATTTTCCCCTGAAAAGCTCGGTAAAAGTGTTTCCTTTAAACAAATAAACTCCATGCCCACGTCGAGTGCCATTCCGTAGCAAAAACGTCCCCATTTACTTTTTGAAACATCACCGTTTGACCATCGTGCGATAGCATCTCCCAGCGAGTTTTCACGCCACTCGGGCACTCGAGAGCCGTTTCATTCGATGAATAAATTCAAAGCATCGATGATTTTATTGATGTACAAACCGAGTAGCTGGCCCACGGTTTATTAAAACTCCGAGCGAACGAACGATCGCGGGGACGCGCCAATTTTTCAACTTAATTGGATTTCATATCGGCGAATACGTGACGGAAGACCCACAGCTGCATAACGATCTCCCGCGCGACGGAATAATAACCCCCCCGAGCTTAACAGCGGACTACATGCCCGTTCACGTGTAAAAAGCAATTTGAAGAGCCATAGCTGCAGTACTTTTTCAAATACACCTCGGACACTCTTATTTTATTTTTTTACATAGACACCGCGCTATTGTTTGTTTATGTGGTCGTGCCCATGTACTCCACCTCTTTTTCTTCCTCCAAATCACCGCGACACCGCGCTCTACTTAACGTTCTGTTTCAGCGAGTGACATAATTTATAGGCGAGCGCCGGGTCCTTGTCTCCCGTTTGTCTCTTCGCCAGCTCCTTCTTCACCGCAAGCCCAATTTAAATACTCCATACTTAAAGGAAGAAGAAAAAAAAAAAAAAAAAAAAAAAAGGGAGTGAATTAAAAGAAACGAGAAAACCACAGAGAGAAAGAAAGGCCCATCCATTACCCACTGCCGCAGCTACGCCCTGCGTTCTCTCTCTTCCTCCCTCTTTGAAATATCATCGAACGGTCCTCCTCCTCCTAATGGCCATTCCAACATTCGCGGTGCTTACACTCTGGATTAACTTTAATTAACTCGTGTTGCACATACGCACATAATCATCCCCCATCCAAGGTACTTTCCAAGTGTAGGTACCTACATATGTCACATACGTATACGTGTGGATTAGCTCGTGGCTGCACGCAGGATGGGATGGCATATGCATCAGCGCTTTGTATTACTATTGCAAGCCCAGCCAGCAGAGCATAAAAGCGTCACGCGTATAAATATAGCCTTTGCAGCTACACATGTATATATATATATATACGGCAAGGGATGGATAGGTACCTATGTATATGTACACGTATTATACGGTCGGTAAGTACAGTACTTTCACGCAGAGAGAGAGAGAGAGAGAGAGAGAGAGAGAGAGGCCTCGTCGCTGCACTGCATAAACATGTTTAACGTCTATAAATAAGGTCGGAGCTAATAACCCGCCGAGGCGTACCGTAGGTATATATATACATCGTTCCCTCCCTCCCCCCTACCTATACATACGTCTCTATTCTTTGCTCGGGTGCTAATTTTCTTTAGGGCTTTAATGCAGCTGAGGCGCACGTGCGGTCTCCATTATAATATGCGTTCGCATTACCCTTCCTTCGTGCTCGAGGAACTCTACAAGTGCGTTTCTTCTTCTTGCCCTTTCAAGGGTCAATTTAGCGTGTTTTTTGACTTTATTCCCGATGCAGTGCACCTGCGTCGATTAAAAAAAAAATTTTACTCCCAACTTAGCGATTCACGCTGGAAATTGAATTGATTTTGAAGTATACAAATGGCAGTGCAACTCGTTATACCACCAAAGATTATGAATACTTGTGTATACCTGCGCTTCGTCGTAAAACAAGTACACACTCCGGATACGATCGAACTTTCCTGCGCGTCTCGGAATCCCGAAAGTTTTCTCTGTAACTACACTTGGGCGGAGTTTCCTGCCTGCAAGTGCACATCTGTGCGTTTATTTCCAGCGACATTGCATTTTATGCGAGTTAACTTCCCTCGGATTCCCGATGTTTTAATTAAAGCCTTTACGAGACTTAAATGGATTTCGGAATCAGAGATTTTCAATAATGAAACGAGTGAACACGGATTTTAATACATTTTATCGGTCGCATACAAATTATTGACGATTGTTTCAATATAGATAACCTCGTGTGTTGATGACCCTTTTTTAAAGTAATATTATTTTTGCTCCCAGTAGAGCTTTGTTCATCAACGAGAATACTCCGGAAAAAAGTGTGGGATATATTAAATCCCAGAGTATAGCCTTGTGACTATTTCTCTATTGCTTTTTTTTTTCATGGGAGAAAATTGTGTGCAAAAAAACTGACAAACTTGAGTCTCGAGGGGCTTTGGAGGTGTCCTTTATGAAAAGACCGTGCTCCTCTTATTAAAAGCCAAATCGAGGACGTCGTATTATAAACTAAGCAAGCTCAGTTCGGACTTGATGAAAATAATTAAAGAATAAAGGCTTGAGGATGTGAAACTGCAGTCAAAACGCAAGCGATCGACGCTCCTTTATGAAAGTTTTTAGATGAGCTTTGAAAGTAAAAGATAAGTTGGAAAAAAAGGAAAGCTTCCTTTTTTTACGAGAAACACCAATCAGGTGTATAATTTGAAAGAAAATGTTAGTATTAGAAACAATTTACCGATGAAATAAAAAAAAAAATTGATATGTTACGTGACGCAGCCTTTGTAGGAAATACATTTTTCTTGAGTTATTTTCATGTACATCGAATTTCAGAATGGCACCAGCATGAAACATTAAATTGAAAAATGATCGTCATTGCTCTTATTTCACGATTTCACGCGAGACGTAATTAATTGTTTGAATTTTTAATTGCTTGACAAATTATTCAAATGATAGGTACGAGAAAAAAAAAGTTACAAATCGCATTCGACAATATTTTTTTCCCCCAATAATGTTTGAGACAAACGCAGCTGATAATATTTTTGACCTTGTGGGACTGTGAAAGTAAAAAAATAGAATCACCTGATGGTGATATTTTTTATTTGTCTTAAAAATCACATATATTTTTGGTATCCTGTACACAGTAGTTTGTGGCTGTACGTGGCTGGTAAATGAGCGTGAACAAAAACTTGTTCCCTTAAATTTTCTGCTCAAGTAACCCTGTGCCACGAAATTGACCGATGCAAAGAGGCAAGGCATATACTCTGGCTAATTCAAGAGCTTTCCGCTGCGCAATTCGAGACGTAATTCTCGTCAATGCTACCCAATGCCCCTTAAAGCTTTTCCTCGAATCGAATCATGAAAAGCGAAACTACTTTCTCAATCTTCCTACTTTTCTTCCCCTTTTTCCACCCTTGTCTCCGACTAGAGTAACACAACTCGCCCACTTGTTGGATTAGCTCATTAAAATGCAAATTTGAAGGCTGGTGAAGGAAAAAAAAAACAGGACCGCAGAGATCTACGAAGGGAAGCAGTTCTCTTAGAGAAAATTGCAGAGTCCATCAAAGAGAAATGTATTATGCGCTCAGAGCCCACTGCTACGTTTCCCTTTTGCAGTCGTCCCAGCCACACGGATACAATCGGTCCCAGCTGTTCTTTTGAGATTTTTCAGCGTTAAAAATAATCTCGTTGCTCGAGGACTGTGACTACGTTTACTGCAACTTACAATTCAACACTATTAAAATTTCATTGTATCTTTTATTTTAGTGAACGGAAGAAAGCTGTGATCGATGATCGGGAAAAACTGACATTAAAAATGGGAATAAAGTTAATACGAGCACTAATTGCTTGTCGGGTTTCTCGGACTTAATTGTTTTTAGATCCATCAGCTCTACTTATATGAATTACTTGATTTGTACTTTAACATGTAAAGTAGCTATTTAGGAGTTTGGAGAAAAATTAAGTTTTTTGAAGGTTTGCATAACAAAAAAAATCTTCTGCCTTCATTTTTGCAACGTTTACAAAATATTCAAATTTTAGAAGAGGTATTGTGGCTTTTGTCACGTTCGGAGAACCAAATTAAAATTACAACTAAACTATTGGAATATCATCCACTCGTGTCGGAATGATCGATGCCCTTTAGTTTTTAATTAAGCTATTTTAAAATATGCTATCGTTCAAGGCAGTCATTACGGTTTTTTTTCAACAGTTCTTTTTTAACTCCCATATGTGATATGTATAGAGGATGAAAGGTTAATTTACTGCGTTAAACTAATTTTTCGTACTACTAACTTTATTCGTATTCTCTTCTACAAAGAATATCAATTCGTACAGGAATAAAAATATGTACAAATGACTTTTTAATGCATACTTTAAAAGTCATAATACTGTATATTCAATATTATTCATAAATCATCGTAAATTACACAAAACAAAAGTTATGTTCTGTTTACCATTAACTTTTCCAATTTATACACTTGAGCTGTTAATTAAAATGTTATTTAATTGTTAAACCATTATGATTCCGAATAATCAACAGTTTAATGAAACATAAATACTTTATAAGAACACCATTTAACTCTAGTTTTCAGTTATTAATAGTCGTCAATGGAATTAAAAGATTAAAGTTTCAATGTGCCTGTATCTTCGTCAAATACTCGTTGATTTGAAAGCTATTTTTCCGTAATACTACAAAACACAATTGAAAAAAAGATTTTTCGTGGAACTTAGATAAAAAAAAAATAAAAAATAATTATTTAAAATTAGCTGTTATTTATTAAACAACAGAGAATCACCAACATACTTACAATTCTTTTCTCCAAAAAAACCAAACAATTGTATGTAAACATTTTGTGTGGTTAAGGTACAAAAATTTATAACGTAAGTTTTTAAGCTCTTCCATAGACCTAACGCAATAAACTCACAGTGGTGTATGACATTTCAATGATCTGTAAAGTCAAATTATAGGCAGTTAAATAATAAATAAAAGAATAGCAAACTAAAAATATCATTACATGCAACGAGAGTGTATTTAGTTATGATTGATCCATAACAGTGTAGTATCAGATATTTTTAAGTAAAAAAAATGCACTCTATTTCCATAACAGTTGTTATTTGCTTTCTTTACTCATAAAAATGTGTTGAGATTTAGTGCACACAATCCATGACGAGAAATACTTTGACCTTGTTTGTTACTAATCATCGAAATCAATAAAAATTTCCTTTCTCGGGGATTCATAAGAATCCAATTGCTTTCGTAGATAGCGTTGGATATTTCTTGACTCTGTTTTTTGAAAACAATATCACATAATTACAGTATTTTCTATAGATTTAGGGAGAAAAAAAACCTTACCGTCAACATCAATTGATTGCCAAACCAACAGTAGATAAAGACATGCTGCAAATTGTTTAAAACGAAAACGTAAATCCACGTGAAATCAAAGCTAAAGATGTCATACTACAAAAATATAAATTTGGAAAGTTTGAGAAAAATAAAATTTTGTAAGCATGGAAGTAAGCTTTTTACCTTGGAAGCTTGAAATATTCCAGAGCAAATACTTGCCATGGCAAATAAAAAAAACGGTATGACAACTCCAGTGACAAAAGATTCTACTTTTTTTGTCAATTCCCGAATCAAGACATTATGGATGACACAATCCTTTATGCCAAGCACATCACCATGACTCAATTTTTTTATTCTATGGGCATTTAACTCCAACTGTCCGGTTATTACGATGAACAGTCCAACAGACATTGCGTCAAGAGAAGTGTGAATCACAATAGCATAAAGTGCTGTTATTGCATTAAAACAAATTGTAAAGTATAATACTTCTGGACTTGAAACGTTATAAAACTGATAAGTTTTAAAAAACGAATATTGGTCACTGATTGTTTTTGACATCCAAGCGTACAAAAAGACTAAAAGATTGCAGAATGTAATACACATGAGAATTATAAAGAGCCACTTTGTCTTTTTTACATGTTTTTCTATTATATTCGCCTCGTTTTTATTTTTGGGTTTGCAGTGTACATTTTTAAATTCCCTTTAGATAGCAATTACGTTGTTTCGGTGGAATAAAAAATAAAAAATTTTGAAGCAGAGTGTCGAGTACTTCATTGCCAAAAATAGTGACTCAGTTATATCATCAATGTTGCTTTTCTCAAGAACAACTTTAGCAATTAGAACAAACGTTAAGTAATAAACAGTTGCTATTCCAATCAGCTGATAAACTTTTCTTGCAAATCCGAAACTTTCGTTTTCCTCGTACCAGAGACCAGAGAGTTGCAAAACTTTAAAATTCAAAGGAAGCACGTCCATCTTGGCCGAAAGGTTGTGTTTCAATGAGCAATGTAGTTTTTAGGCCTATTCCTACGTAGGTTGCAAGTAATAATTAGATACTATTAAAGTTTAATATTAGCTTGTATGAATAGCTACCCCAGCACTTTGATAAACGCAAACGAGCCGATTGATGACCAGCTAAAACTGTCATTAAAAGCAGAAATTCAATAAATTCGGGGGCGTTTATATTTTGGGTTGCTCGGACTTAATTGTTTTTTGATGTTGAAACTCTTGTATAATATATCAATAGCTTTATTTTACTTGAACACGTGCAGTAGGTATGACCTGTAACCCTTGTCACGTCAGGTGTATAAATTTTAAGTTTTAAGTAACGAAATATTAAACATTATAGGTATGCGTTGGAATATTAATGCCTTTTGGTTTCTAGTATACGTATTTTTGTAAGTGATTTGTAGTGTATGGCTGTTTTTTTTTCGAGCCGTTTCTTAATTAGTTTACCATGCGACTTAAATTTATTAATGAACTCTCCAAAAGTCATGATACTTTATGTACAATATTATTTGTAAATCATCGTCAATTACATAAAACTAAAGTATTGTTCCATTTCCAACCAACTACCCTTAATTTTAATCTTGACTTTTTTACAGAAGTGTTACTCATTTGTCTGTCGAATTCCATCTTTAAGTATAACCGCACAAAAATACTTTAATGCTCATCGTTTAACTCTACCCTTGACATTGTTCGTTGATGGAGTTAAAATAAAAATTTTAATGCAATAATTTTAACTATTTACTAACCAACTAAAAGAATGACATTTTTAATAAAGGCAATTATTTATTCAAATACAAAATCAATATGATCCTTTCCTTCGAACAGCCCAAACGTAATATTGGCTGAAAGTTTTGGATACACAAGTTTAAACAAAATCGTTACATAATTTCTAATTTCTTTCATAGACTTGATTCAATAAATTCAGAGTAGTATATGACATTTTCACGATCTGTAAAAAAAAATTATTCATGTCAGATGTTAAATAAAAAAAAAAAAAAAATTAAAATCGTATTTTATGCAACAAGAGTGTATTCGTTTTGCTTAGACGATGATCACCATGCAAAAGACAGCCAAAGCTCAACCAATGATAATGTTGTATGAGGCATTTAAAAGTTAAAAACCATGCACTTTACTTTCATAAAAATTTGTTATTTATATTATCTACCCATAAAAACGTGTTTATGTTTAGTGCACACAATCCATGACAGGAAACACTTTGACTTTTTTCATTGCACGTCATCAAAAAGAACAACATTTTTCTTTCTCGAAGATCCATAGAAATCCAATCGCTTTGGTAGAATGCATTAGATATTTTGTCACTCTGTTTTTTAGGAGCCATACGAAAAATTATAGATTTCTTGTGGCTTGACAAAAGAATGAAAAATAAACAGAAAACTTACCGTCAACATTAATTGATTGCCAAACCAACAATATATAAATACTTGTTGCAAACTGCTTACAGCAAAAACCCAAATCCAAGCAAAATTATAGCTGAAGAGATTGTACTGCAAAAGTGATATTGAATACTTGCAGAGAAATAGGATTTTTCAAGCATGAAGATACGATTTCTTACCTTGGAAGCTTGAAATATGCTCGTGCAAACAATTCCCATGCCAAACAAAAAAAACGGTATGACAACTCCTATGACGAGAGATTCCACTTTTTTGGTCACTTCCCGAATCAAGATGTTATGGCTAACACAACTCTTCATGTCGAGCATATCGTCACGACTCAATTTTTCTATTCTACAGGCATTTAACTCCAACTGTCCGGTTATCACCATGAATAGTCCAACAAACGTGGTATCAAGGGAAACGTGGATGACAGCGCAAAAAATGATCGCTAGTATATTAAAACTGATTGTAAAATATAAGATTTCTGGATTCGATGTGTCGTAAAATTGGTAGGTCATCAGTGATGAGTATTTTTCGCTAATTGTCTTTGATGACCAAGAGTAGACAAAGACCAAGATGTTGCATGAACAGAGAGTCATAAGACATAAAAAAAGCCACTTTGAAGTTTTAGCATGTTTCGCCAGTATCTTCGCCTCCTCGTCACTGTTGGCTTTGCAGTAAACAACTTTTAATTCTCTTATGATTTTAATGATATTGTCTCGACGGAAAACAAAATTAATTATCTTAAAGCAGAGCGCCAAGTACTTCATAGCTACAAAATGAGACTCTGTCAGGTCGCCGATGTTACTGTTACTCACAGCAATTTTAGCAATCAGTGTTAAAGTTACGTAAAAAATAATCACCATTACAATGAAACGGTACATTTTTTTTGCACATCCGAATCTTTCGTTTTCTTCGTACCACAGACCAGAAAGTCGTAAAAAGTAAAAATTCAGCGCAAGCGCGTCCATATTGGCTCACAGTTCTTGTTTCAATGAGCGCCTTAGTTTCCAGGACTACGCCTGCCTGGAAGTATCATGTCATAATTAAGTTTTAGAATAAAAATTTCAAGTTTAATTGCTTGTTTTATATCGATCAGCCCCCGTATTTGGGTAATGAAAGAATCGGGAAAAACCGACATTAAAAGAGATGGTAAAGTACATGCAGTGGCTTGTTGTTTATCAGATCGCTCGTACTTGATAGTTTTTTGATCTGTTACCTCTATTATGTATTAATGACCCAGTTTTATTTAAATATGCCCAGTGTAGGTATTAATTATGTCCTTTTCTCCAAACCCGACAAGAGCCACAATTGATACTTGCAAGGCGTATTCAATAAAAATCAAGTCAATAATATGCCGTACAGTAGACGAAGTGGAAAAAAAACTACTTACAAGAGGAAAAAAAAAAAAAATTTTGTGAAAATAAATTTTTGTTGAAAAGTATTTTAACCACACACTCTGTGCATCCGAGGAAATTGTGACCCTGTGACATGCACACATACACACTTTCTTTATTTCAGCTTTTAATGGTTGTTTCTCCTGCTCATCGATCAACACGTTCTTTCATTTACTTCATTTACCAAGCCAAACTAACTGAAGAGGCTAACGTACGTATTAATTGAACGTTAATCGTTTCTTAAAATATTCAATTATTACCTAATTATAGTCTACACAGTCCTTGGAACTGTAGAGTCCATTAAAACTAAAACTTACATCCGAGATGGACGTGCTGCCGCTAAACTTTTATTCTTTGCGCCTTTCTGGTGTCTGGTACGAGGAAAACGAAAAATTGGGATTTGCGAGGAAAATGTATCGGTTCTTTGTAGTAGCAAGTGTTTTTTACTTCGCGATAACACTAGCTGCTAAAGTTGTTCTAGAGAAAAATGACATCGATGACTTAACCGAGTCACTGTTTTTGGCCATGGCATTCTGGAATATCTGCTTCAAGATTGTAAATTTCTCATGTCACCGGGACAACGTGATTGCAATTGCAAGGGAATTAAAAATTTCGCACTGCCAAGCCAACAATGACGAGGAAGCAAAGATACTAGAAAAATACGTAAAAAGATCAAAGTGGCTCTTCGTTTTTCTCATGTGTGCAACCATCAGCAGCGCAGCAACTTTTTTCTACGCATTTGTGTCAAAGGCAATCAACAGCGAACATTTACCACTCAAGACTTACCAATTTTACGATGATTCAAATTTACAAGTTGAATATTTCACGGCTCTTTTCCAAGTGATAGTGACCATTTATGCAGTTGCCATCCATTCTTCCCTCGAAACCATGCCCGCTGGACTGTTTATGGTAATAACCGGACAGCTGGAGTTGAATGCCTATAGAATCAAAAAATTGAGTCGTGGTGATGTGCTTGGTATGAAGGATTGTGTTATTCATAACGTTTTGATTCGGAGAGTTAAAAAAAAAGTAGAATCCATCGTCATTGGAGTCGTCATACCATTCGTTTTTTATGCTACAGCAAACATTTGTACGAGCATATTTCAAGCTTCCAAGGTAAGAACCTTATTTTCACTCTTGGAAAAATTTAGCATTTCTTCAAACTATTTAATTATCGTTTGTGTAGTACAACCTCTTCAGCTCTGACTTTACTTGGATTTGCGTTTTCTCTTTGGGCATTTTGCAGCAAGTCTTGATCTACTGTTGGTTTGGCAATCAATTATTATGGAAGGTAAATTTTTTTAGTTTGTATCGGTCAATTTGCAGAAGAGAAAGTTAAATTTGTTATTTTGTGATTTTTATTTCAAACAGAGTCAGGAAATACCTAATGCCATCTACGAAAGCGATTGGATTTTCATGAATCCACCTGAGAGGAAGTATTTATTCATTTTAATGGTTTGCAGTAGAAAAGGCCTAAGTGTTTCTTGTCATGGATTGTGTGAACTCAATTTAAAAACATTTCTATGGGTACAGTTAATATACGTAATAACTTTGATGTAACTATAGTCTGCATAATTTTTGTAATTTTTGTATTTTAATTTTCGACACAACATTGACATTGGTCCAGCTTAGTGTTTTGCACGGTGATCATCGATCACGCCGACTAAATGCATTCTCGTTGCACAAAATGCTATTTTTAGTTTATTATTATTTATTCTTTTATTTATTATCTAACATTGCATAATTTTATTTTACAGATTATAAAAATGTCATACACTACGGTGAGTTTATTGCATCAAGTCAATGCAAGGCTTTAGAAACAATAAAAAATCTATTTCAAAATAGACAGTACGTTGTGGGATGTCAAGAAAAATATGTACAGTACTATGTTTATAATTATTTATTTTATTTTTTCCTTCTTTGATGGAAATGTAAGCAGTATACATTTAAAATACTTACGTAGATCAAAATTATAGTGTTGTTACTCAAGTATTAAGATATTTTTAAATCTCAGAACTAGAAAAACTTTGTGTTTTCCTGTGTATTTAAATTAATTAAAATTCTTGGCCACTTTTTTTCTACGAATTCGGCATATTGTCACAAAAAAACGTACTTCCAGTTTTAGTTTCAATACACCTAAAGTAATATCTGTAAAATTGGTGCATTAATAATAAAGACATGAGTATAAATGTATTTCAACTTAAAATTTTTGACCTTGTTTCTAACGTAAATACAAAATTTAGATGGAAACCCCCTCTCGTAGGTAACCAATGAAAATTTCGTACATAAAGTTACAAAAGATCTTTGAAAAACTTTGGTCTCTTAAAGACTGATAAAGTGCCGTGAGAAGACGTTAGACTTTTTATCGAGACTTACAAGTGCGCAACACCTTGATGTCTCGAAAAGTTGTCAGCAATGCAATTTCTACAATATCAGGGATATTCCTGACTGACTACCTAAACAAATAATGAATTCGTAGCAAATTTTATCGCGGATTACCACGGACTGGCCATCAAATTGTCATTCACAGCGTGTCCATACGTTTGACGAGAGAACTGCTGTTGAAACATATACCAATTAGTTAAAGCCTCGGTGGAGATGTTTGGCAAACAGTGAGTGCTTTCCGGCCTCAAACTGATGTGGCCGAGCATACAGATGGTGTATGTACATTGATCACCAGGTATGTATCAGCACAAAATTGTTTTTCATCGACTCGTCCAAGCGCGAGTGTACGCGCGCCAGTAGATCGAATAGTCGAGATAATTGGAGCCTCCATCTCACGTCACACTGCCCAAATCAACACCCGAAACCCTCGATGAGAAAAACGCGTATGTGTATATACACCACTCATCCCGGGGGCTATCATCGGCTCCCGAAACGGCATCTGGTACACCGAGTCACCGATTTCGTAGGAGGCTCGTTAAAAGCGCTTAACCAGCGACCGCCCGGACAAATCCGCTGCGACGCGGATCAGCGCGCATTACCCGCTCATTGCCGGCTATGGTTGCACTATAGGCACCGTATACGTGCACGCATGGATCCGGAGTACTTACGTGCATCGTTGGGCTCGATACCTGCTCGGGGGGGCTTTTGAGCCTGCCCAAAGTCGCATTCCCGCGAGAGTGGCTGTTACACGCGGCTTTCGAGGATCCGCTTAGCGCGGGAGCGCGTGAGGATGATTTGTCCGCCGACGAGGCTATATATACGGTTCACAGGTGGGAGGCTTTCCAACTTTTGTCATTAGACGCGTGTGTGAGATTCAACTCGCCGAGCTGGACGCGATCGCTATTGCATTTTTTTCATGTTTTAATTTGAAAAAAGATACAGAGACAAAAATAATTCTCGATCCCGCATGTAAATGTACCAGCGAGATGATGGGGCGCGTCCTGTCGCCAATGTATTTTCGAAAGCACCGAATCATCGTTGCGTGCTGCGTACTCGGAATGTCATCTGTCAGTGCACGGTATGCGTGTGTATACTTACGTCCAGTCATGCGCGTCACGGAGCAATCATTGGGCGACGGTAGCTGGAAAAAAAATTAATGCTCGAGTTTCTTGGTTCTCCTGTTCGTACCTAACTGCATGTCCAGAAGTGGGGTGTGTGGGTATGGAGGGGAAGAAAAGGATTTTTGGCTCTTAAAACTCCGAAACTTTTAGCTCTTTAAACATAGCCTTTCGTCAACATTGAATCGTCCCTTATTCGTCCTGCATGCGAATGCGCAGGTATAGACGTATATAAGCGAATTTCGTCCTCCCTCTCGGGGTTACACTTGGCTCGGACCACTCACGGAGCGGAACAAACATCGTGTGTCTCCTCTCGGTAAATAAAACGACCAGCCATAGCCGGCCAAGGTAATACAGCGCTACGGCCTTCCCCTTCTACCTAGCACCTGTCGCCGTGGTCTACTTGCGCGTACAAAACGAATCTCCTCCAGAGTCAAGATGGTCCTCTGCCAGGGCTTGCTCTTCTTTTTGTCTCCACATACCCACTCCTCGGCCCCCTCATTTTTTTTTTTTTTCTTTCGACTCGACGAGTGTATGGGAGATGGCGGGAGATTACGCCTGTTTAGGACGTGCATAAATACATATATATATATATACGCAGGTCAGGACGAAGGACAAAAAAAACAGTGGACTGTCGTCGTCGCGTAGCAGTCCAACTTTCCCGGTATACGGGCCCGTGCTGGGCGAAGGTACACTGTGCCTTATTTACAGACCAGCGAGAAAGGACATTAACTAGGAAGGGACGCTGGCTTCTTTGGGCCGTCGTAGGCGTACAAAAGAGATGCGGAGGTATTGTGAAACGAGAAGAATCGACGCCGGAGGGTGATTTCTCGGAAAGGAGGCAAAATATATATATATATGTGTATGTACAGGCAGGTCTTTGGCTTGACCTGCGGATGAATCGAAACTCCCTTATAACGGTCGTCGATGCTCGTTTCCGAATTTTACGATATGCCATGCCTGTTCTCGTGTATTGAGAGTACACATTATAACGCGTACGGAAAAATTATGTGACTCTTGGAATGTGTGAAGATTTTTACGTGGGTATGGTTGCGTTTCAAAGGTTTTTTTCGGGTTTTTACACCTCCATATCTCTTGTACCCATGCGGCCACCTGTTTTTACGAGCGAGGTCGCTTAAAAGAGATACGCTGCTTGGACGAGAGGAATTTTATCGGAGATGGAATTATTGTTTTATTTTCTCGAATCGCCGTTTTAAGTTGTACTTTTGCGTTCGTCTTCTCTTCGCTGTTCTCTTGTATTCGTAGGTTTCACGCCAAATCCAAGTATATAGTCTCTCCTTCGAACGAGGGATTCAAAGTTGAAGTGTAAATGTAGAGTCCATCGCACAATGTTACGGTTTTTATGATCCCACGATGTAATGTTTAAGCATACGGTTGTATTTATGAAAACGACGGTGAACAAGCACTTTCGTTTTGTATTTTCGAAAACGATTGTCAAATTGACTTGTGATTCACACAATGCCTGCGTGGTAAAGTATCACTACCACCTGTAGACAGGCACAAGGAAAAAACAACTTTCCGAACCCCCAAATCATCTAGATTCACAAGGTAAAGGTGGAGGGGGAGATAAGAAAAGTAAGCTATACCACCGAGAAAATTAGCTTTCCCAAACCAATTTTCATTCGCGTTACAGTTCACCTTGGACGATATCTTCGACAGGGTCCAACCCCCCCTTCGAGCCGTTGAATCAGTCGAAAGCAGGACCTTTTATTCCCTCAACAAAAAACCCAATCCCCCATAACCCGAGCTCCAACCATTTTTTCCTCCTCCCCCGTACCTGCCTCCTCAGTCCCGGGATTAAAAAAATATAAAAGCCAAACACTCGTAAACTCACGCTGAGGGCCGTCTCTCTCGGCCCAACGGAGGTAGCGTGGGAGTGACCATTTCCAAGAACTCTCGCACACACATACCCCAACACACTCGTGGTACAGGGGGGGGGGGCAGAGCTTTTGCCTATTATTCTCTCCTCTCCGCGGGGGTAAAGGGCATTTCACGCCGTTGCCGAGTACATAAGTAGAGAGGGACCTTGGCAAGTAAGAAGTTAAGCTCTCCGAACGTACACCTCGGCCAGGAATATTGAAAGGACGAGGCGAACGACACGAGCCTCGGGGCTCTTTTACTCCAAGGCGAGTCGACCGAGGGTAGCCCGTACGTATCGGGTCTTACGCAACGCGTGGCCAATGTGTTACTCGGGGACATCTGTGTACGGAGGTGCGAGCCTTTCCACCGGTGGTTTAATAAATTCTTGCGTCGTGGGGAATTAACGGTTCTCCTCGACTTTAATGACATGCCCGCTGGCTGGACTCTGATGCGCGTGTATTTACGATCGTTCCAAGTATATCACGTTATACACGACAAGAAGAAGAGATTATAGGTTGGCTTACGAGGCGGGTTTTGATGGACCTTCCCCTCGAATTGGAGAATTTCTTTTGTCGACTTCGTTCCCTTCCCTCGAAACACCTGGTGGCTCTTTAAAATTTGATTTATGCCTCGAACATATTACACGCCATCTGAGACTCGAGTCACGTTTCGTAACGTCTATTAATGATCGGAGGCATGTTTTCAGTTTTGGAAAAATCATAAGTGTATTATTTGATTGAATTGGCATCATCTTTGCCAAATAAATTGAAACATGTTTTTACGCAGCAAACTCATTAGGGGACCTTGGATAGGAAAGAAAAAAAGGATTCTCCTCCGGTGTAATCACTTCCACCGAAAACGCATCATCGGAGCCTTCGATTCAGCACAAAAAAAAAGACTTTAAATTTCATCTCGTTTAAGACGCACACCTATTATTTTTTCATCTCCAGCCTCGAACCGTTATAGGCCAAAGCCAACACCTACGGGGTCTTATTGTCGAAAAAAAAAAAAAAAAACAAATCTCCTCGTCCCGACTACCCGCCCAAAGTGTAATCTTCCAAGATGATCTGGCTGAGAAGGGCCCCCACCTATAATTAGGCACCTACACGAGCGAGATAGGGAGCGTCTCCCGTACACACACACGTACGAGGCTATTGCTGTGCCGCTTGGATAGAAAAAATAAAAAAGGGGGCTGTGCTCGGCCGGAATTTCATTAACGGATGACTCGTCGAAAGTATGGTTCGCGATATTGCTTTCTTAATTACTCGGATGCAGATGAGATAGATGCTCCCTCCACGATTGGGCTCCGCTCGTGTGTTCGACCCCTCAATCCCGTATCTCTTCACTGTAGTCAGATATCGGCGTGTCTATGACGTATAGGTATACGTGTGAGCACATCTCTCTGGTGATTAACTCGAGGCTGTTTTTGTGGT